AAAAAAAAAAAAAAAAAAAAAGACAAAAAGGAAAAAAAAAATCCCTCTCTTTGGTAGAGTAAATAGCCAACTTAGATATCAACTAGGTCCCAGTTCACACTGATCAGAAGGACAAAACTTAGTAGATTAGATAATCCCAAGTTTGGATGTCCAGCAGGAACAAACAGTTATGCATAAATGGAGGAACAGTCGATCAATACACTTTCTATTACTATTTCCCGTAACGGTGAACTATGGCCCAGCAATTTTTATCTACTGTCCTTTATCATGCAATGGCATTTGCAGATTGTTAGAAAAACAACAGGACCTGTATTTTCCACAAGAGCAAAAAATAAACTTGGGAAAAGCCCAAACACCATAATCACTGGAAAGGAAATGTGAAATATACTAAGGTAAAGAAACCACTAAAAGTTTTCAATATAATTCCACTAATATTCATTTACTGAATGTTTAAAAGTGGAAATACTAAAAGAACACAACATAATGAAAATAAAACAATGGTAATGGTATTAGGAATAACCAATCAGGACAATGGCTACCAAAGGGGCATGACAGACATTGGTCAAGGATTAGAACATGAGTCTCCAAACACAGCCTAATAGAAAAGCTTGACGATGATTCTGAAGATGTTTTTATTGTAACTATTACTAAATCATACCACAAAACATTATTTTTCATTCTTTTGTGAATGTATTTCATGATAAAAAAATTAGAATACACTCGCAAAATAACATGATTGGTATTTATTCATCTGCTTTGTAATGTGACAGCAAAAATTGGTAACCAGCCAAGTGTTTACTTAGAAAGGATTGGTTACACAAATGTACCATCTTATGCACCTTTTAAAAATGAAGGGTGACATGGGTTGGTAGGAAAATATTTTTAAAATATATGAGTGGAACAATTAAGTGAAGTATATTACAATATATACACCATCTTACTGTTTCTGTCACTGTTACAGTCACCTGCACAGAAAGATGGACCCCTCACCCAAGCGTTAGCTCAGATGTCAACACTGACAATGGGCCAGCCTGTGGCTCACTTGGGAGTGTGGTGCTGATAACACCAAGGCCACGGGTTCGGATCACTATATAGGGATGGCTGGTTAGCTCACTTGGGAGAGCATGGTGCTGACAACACCAAGTCAAGGGTTAAGATCCCCTTACCTGTCATCTTTAAAAAAAAAAGAAAAGAAAAGAAAAACACTGACAATACAACACACATACTAAGATAGTATGGAAGGGTTTATTACTTCTACAACAGAAATCTCTGGGAAGAGCAGAGCCAGCCTCTCATGCAGGTGGCTAAAAGGCCTGAGAGAACAGGTAAATGTGCCTGGTCTGGGCTTTCATCAAGTTTGGGTGGGAGGAAGTATGCAACTTCATGCACAAGGAAATGGGCTTAGGAGGACTGAATCCTTTATCAACAACAAAAAAGAGAGATGTCAGGCCTTTTGATCGATCTGTTCTGATGTGCATCATAAGGGGAAGAAAGAGAGTTGAGGACTTCAACACATGACAAAACACTAAAAAGTTGTATCAAGGACTTCCAGTTTCTGGTTTCGTTTGTAAGGAGCTTAGATGCCATCTTTCTCATTCTCAAACACAAAAGCAAACAAAAAATCTTAAAATCAAAATCTTCTTCAAATTATCAGAGAATTGAGGCCACAGGACAAATGAATGACTGCAAAATTGGAGATGCAGGAATGAAAAGTAGTCATTTTGAATTATGCCCCAAATATTCTGTTCCTCTTAAAAAGGCCTGTCATCAAATCAATCTACTTCAACAGAGTAAAATCACTAGGATTTTATCAGAGCCTAACTCACCTGTGGGAAAGGAAATACCCAACCTTAGTCTCCTCTAGACTTCCTGTCCCACCTGGGGTTGGGGGGTGTAGAAGACTGTACAGTAGTGAACGGATTAAAAATGGTGGTCAAGGGCATGGTTCTGAGGGCTTTAAAAATAAGAGGAGAGTTTGTCTCTCTCTCTCTGCTCCCACCACCTTACAATGTGAAACCCCTGGGTCACTATCACCATCACTGGATGGACTTTGGACTTCCCAGCCTCAGAAACTGTAAGCAATAAATTTCATTTTCTTTATAAACCGCCCAGTCTCAGGTATTCTGTTATAGCAACACAAAAACAGACTAATACCGAAAATTGGTACCACAGAAGTGGGGTGTTGCTATACAGATACCTGAAAATGTGGAAGCAGCTTTGGAACTGGGTGTTAGGCAAAGGTTGGAGGAGTTTGGAGGACTCAGAATAAAGACAAAAAGACGAGGGAAAGTTTGGAATGTCTCAGAGACTGATTACATGGTGGCAAGAAGAATGCTGATAGAAATACAAACTGTAAAAATTCTAAGGAGGTCTCAGACAGAAATAAGGAGGAGTTTATTGGAAAATGGGGCAAAGATCACCCTGTTGTGAACTGGCAAGGAACTTGGCTGCATTCGGTCCATGCCCTAGGACTCTGTGGAAGGTGGAAGTTAAGAGTT